TCTAGTGATAGATTCAGGTCTCGGGTTTGTCTGTGTTTGCCAGGAACACAGCATCGCGATTGCCCAACAAGGGGAAGGTTTTCCAGCTGCTTTGGACAGACTGCCTGTCGTCATTCGTTCCTTCCTGTAGTTCTGCGCTCCACCTATAAACCTGCTTCAGAACTTCTGTAACCCTTTTATGGCTGAAGCTGGAAGACATAAATATAATTTTTAATAAAAATTCACTGCCTGACTTTGGGCAGCCAAAGAGGTTTTTATTTCTCTTCGGTGTACTGTTTCTCCTGTTTAATGAGATGCCATAGTTCTTCCTGTCTTGCCGAATAGTTTTGACTTCCTTTGAACAATAATCATACAGTCGTAAAAAGGTAGCCACTTTCCCCTTGGTGAGTCAGAATCCCTGACTTCAGAACTTACGTCCCTGAATGGTTAAAATCTAGACTTGTCTCGCCTCCTCACTAATTGTTGCTCCTGACAACTGTTGATCCTTTTCTTTAAGAGCCCACGATCTTCTATGTGAATATGTTGATAAATAAAAAGAAAATAATTTCACGGCAACAACCGCTAAATATTTGTTCTAGTTCCTGACTCACGTGTTGTGTTTCAAAGGTGAACGTGTACGATGTAACCCAGTAAAAAAATGTATCATCTATTTTACCATCTTCGCCTTGGGCTAAAATTTGTAACATAGGAACCTACGGGACTAGGAAGGACATTAGGTATGGCTCAGCCATCTGAAAAGTTTGAAAATATCATAAAATAATTTCTCCATGCGCAAGTTATATTAGCTCCTATTCGTAATCATTGTCACACATCAAGTCCTGGATGACAGCAAGACTGAGGCTCTCCTGAGTCTCCTCAACTCAGGCGCTGACGGCATCATCATCCATGGTTGCACACTCCACCTTACTAAGCCAGTCTGGAGCCTTGGGGTCTTGTTTGACCCTCAACTATCAACAACAACAACAATAACAAGATTCCATTTATAGAGCGCCTTTCACGTTGGAAGGACGTCCCAAGGCGCTGTACAGTTGGGTCAGGACCCGAGCCGAGGGGAAATGGTCAGGGTGAGGGGAGGGAAGGGAGGTAGCGAGGAAGGGGTAGAGAGTCGAGAGGGGAGCTGAAGGCACGGTCAAAGAGAAAGGTCTTGAGACCGGCCTTGAAGGAGGAAAGGGAGGAGGCAAGGCGAAGGCATAGAGTTCCAGAGCCTAGGGGCTGAGAAGCTGAAGGCCCGGCCACCGATGGTAGGGTGGTTGGGGCGGGGGATGTGGAGCAGACCGGAGCCAGAGGAACGGAGAGTACGGGCAGGTAGGTAGGGGGATAGTAGGTCGGAGAGGTAGGAGGGAGCAAGGCCGTGAATGGCCTTGTAGGTGAGGATGAGGATCTTGAATTCGATCCTCTGGGGGATGGGGAGCCAGTGGAGGCGAGGGTGGGAGTGATGTGGTCCCGAAGCCTGGTGCGGGACAGTACACGAGCTGCAGAGTTCTGAATGACCTGCAGCTTGTGGAGGGAGGTGCCGGGAAGGCCGGCGAGGAGAGAGTTCCCATAGTCCAGCCTTGAGGTGATAAGGCGTGGACCAGTGTTTCAGCAGCGTGAGGGGTGAGGTAGTGCCGTAGTCTGGCGATGTTCCGGAGGTGGTGGAAGGCGGTGCCAGTTGTGGTGCGGATATGAGGAAGAAAGGACAGCTCAGGGTCGAACAGAACACCGAGGTTCCTGACTGACTTTGAGAGGTGGAGAGTGCAGCCTTGGATGCTGATGGTGTCAGCGCCAGAGGTGCGGAGGCGCTGACGTGAGCCAATCAGGAGGGCCTCAGTTTTGCGCACGTTGAGCTGAAGAAAGTTGTCTCTCATCCACGACTCGATGTCAGACAGGCAGCTGTCAGGACATCGGTGGTCGTGGAGTTGAGGGTAGAGGAGGAAAGGTAGAGTTGGGTGTCATCCGCATACATGTGGAAGTTAACCCCATGTCTGCGGATGATGTCACCACAGGGGGAGCATATAGAGGGTGAAGAGGAGGGGACCGAGGACAGAGCCCTGAGGGACACCGCACGAGACAGTGCGGGGGGTGGAGGAAAAGCCGTTCATGGAAACAAAGTGAAGACGGTGGGAGAGGTACGACCTAAACCACTCAAAGACAGGGCCTTGAAGGTTGAGGTGGGAGGACAAGCGGTGGAGGAGAATAGCGTGGTCGACCGTATCGAATGCTGCCGATAGGTCGAGGAGGACGAGGAGGCGGAGGGAGCCCTATCCTTTCTACCCCTCTCTGCCTTCCCCACCTCTGCAACGTGTCCTCTCCCACACTAGGCTCCGCGACTCTATCACCCGCATCCTTGCCCAACTCCACAGGCTTCCTATCACACAGAGGATACAGTTCAAGATCCTGGACCTTAAATTCAATGCCCTCTACGGTCTCACTTCCCCCTACCTCTCTGACCTCATAACCCCCTACCACCTTGTTCGCTCCCTCCTCTCAGCGGGCTCCGGCCTACTTTACGTCCCCCGGCTTGCTTGCCCCACTATTGGCGGGCGGGCCTTCCGCCACTCTACCCCCAACTTCTGGAACTCTATCCCGCAGTCCCTCCGTCTCGCCCCCTCCCTCGCCACCTTCAAGACCCATCTCAAGACCCTCCTCTTCGACCGTGCTTTCGATCTCCCTGCTTTCCACCCCCTGCCCTCCACCCTCCCCTACCCCGACCCCCAGCTCGGGTCCGTAACTCTGCCTTGGGATGTCCTCCTGACGTGAAAGGCGCTATACAAGTGTAATTTTGTTGTTGTTGCCAACAAAATGCAGAGTCAATTCACTTTACAGTATATTCTATGAAGCGCTTTGAGATGTCTCAACGATTTGATGAGGCGCTGTATCAAATGCAAGGATTATTAATATTATTATCTAAACCACTTCAAAACATCAAAGCAATTCACCGCTCATCTCGTTTTTTGTAGGGTGTTGCTGGGTCAATTTGGCTGCCGCGTATTCTCCGTCCCAATTTTTCAATTGATCTCATTCTGGGAGGCACAGCAAGCAGTTTATTTTGCATGACCGATGCTCCCTAACCGTTACCTGCTGACCCTCAATTGTTTTCTGAAATTGTTGGGGGGAGAAAGCTGCTCCATAAATAGAGTGCAGTGATATAACGTGCAACCTTTACACTAGTATTTCAGAGTATGACGAATCACATATAGATTCTTCCAGCTAATGGGCGACTGCATTATTTATTTTGAACGGGCGACGCAGTCAAGCCATGCAAAAAGGTCACACGAGGTGGAAATCGATGCCTGTGAACACAAGGCCAAAGGGGATATCTATTTAAGCTTGTAGGCAAAGAATGTCTGAGGTTTCCATGCCTGCCAGCACCTGTGGACACGTAGCTTAGCCTGTCTTATGAAGGGAACCAAAGGGGATAAAACAAGACAAGATTATATATCAAGGCAATGATATTAACTATTTAACTAGGATATGAATGGCTGGATTCATGTAGAGCTACCCTCCGTAGAGCAGGGCCACATTAGCTCGTCATGGGCAATTGATTAACCTGTATAATTAATCACCATACCGTACTGGTTCAATCCATTCTGTGTTCTCAACTGTCCCATTCTGTTACTAGATGTTTGTCTTGTTTCAGTGCCACAGGCCTGTTTTATGTTTCAATAACAACTTACATTTATAATAATAATAATCCTTGATTTGATTTAGGATTCGAGATGTCTCAAAGCGCTTCACAGAATAAACTGTAAAGTGAACTGACTGTACATTTTGTGGGCAGCCATCAATTCACTTCATAAACGCAGCAGTCAATTGCGCACAGTAGTGTCCCACAATCAGTCGATTGAGTGATTAAGTAATATTTAAAACAAATTTTTTTATATAAAGGCGCTTTATATAGCGCTTTCACGCAGGGTAACGTCACGGAGTGCTTAAAACTTGGAGCTAGGGACTCTGGTACCTGATCTACCCTTTATCACCCAAACTTACTCAAATGTGTGTTATACTCAAGTTATATTGCCTCCTAATCAGAATCAATTAGGCAATTGGCTGCCGCGTTTCACCAATAAAATACACAATCAATTCACTTTACAGTATATTCTGTGAAGCGCTTTGAGATGTCTCAACAACTTGATAAGGCGCTATATCAAATGCAAGGATTATTATTATGCAAATTCACCCCAAAACATCATAAGCAGGCACTCTTCAAAAAGAGAAGGGAGTTTCTTCCGGTGTCCTGGCCAATAATCCCCAAAATAAAAATTGGTCACTCACTTCATGACTGTTTGTGGGACATCAATGAGGGCAAATTGGCTGCAGTGTTTGACTACAAATATACAAATATACTATCCTTTAAAGTAAAATCCTGTGAAGTATTACAATGTCTCGATGATATAAGATGCTATATCAAATGCAAGGATTATTATAATTTAAAAAGGAGACAGAAATGTATGACCCAGGTGCGAATATGCACCTATATGGTCAGCGCTAATTTTTTGATTGGGGTTATATTCGTTAAGATCTCTTCCACCAAATTGGAAGAGTTATATTTTGCAATTACGTTTAAACCCAACTCTAAATCAGCTTTCATCAATGTGTGTGAGCCTGGCTCAGAGACATTTGTGGGTTTAAGCCCCATGTCGAGACTTTGAACTCCTAATCTGGGCTGACAATCCAGTGCAGTGCTGGGGTTGTACAGTATTGTTTGAGGTGCTAACATTCAGATGAGACATTAAACTGAACTCCCAGCTGCTCGTTTAGGTGGATGATATAGATCCCATGGCACTATTTGAAAAGAGAAGTGAATTTCTCTTATGCTCTGGTCAACAATACCCCAATAAAAATTGGTCACTCACTTCATGCTATGTGGGACGTCACATGACCTTACGCAAATCGCCTACGAAATACGCAGCGACTACACTTAAAGCACTTTGTGACCTCTTCCATTTTGTGAAAGGTGCTTTGTTAAATACTAGGATTATTGTTCCTATTTCTAGTGACTTGTATTCTGTCTGTTACAGGAGAGAAGTTGACTATGTAGATGACGGCAAAAAGCAGAACTGTGAGGAGATGCAGGATTCAACCAATGAATCATCAAAGCTCCCTGGTAAGATCATCTCTCATAGGAAGTAGAATCAGAAACCTTTCTGGTCGGCGGCTGATCTGAATTGGGAAGTGTTTCTAATTTATTTAAGTGTTTGTGTAAAAATGATTTCAATGCGTGAATGAGTTATTATTCTATAAGTTAATAATGAGTTACTGAAACTGTCTGCGCTGTGTTCTTTGATATTATTGTGGCAAATATCACTTTTCCTTTTCCACTCCTGCTGAGGTGAAAGGTGCTGTGTTAATGCAATTTGTCGTTTGTTGTTGTCGATATGCCAATGCTGTTCTTTCTTGTGTCAAGTCTCATTCGCTCGATTGTACACAATCTGTGTTGGTGGTTGAGGGGTCAAATTGGGGGGTGAGGGATCAGGTTGGTGGGTGAGATTCTGGGAATGGTTTGGGGTCAGTTTGGCGGGTGATGGGTCAGGTTGGTGGGGTTAGGGGTTAGGTTGGAGGGGTGAAGGGTCAGATTGGTGGATTGGGGATCAGGTTGGGGGGTGAGGGGTTAGGGTGAGGGGTCAAGTTGGGGGTGAGGGGTCAGGTTGGAGGGTGATTTGTCAGATTCTGGTGTGAGGAGTTGGGGTGTGAGGGGTCAGGTTGGGGACTTGAGGGTTAGGTGTCAGGTTGGTGGGTGAGGGTCAAGCTGGGGGGCGAGGGGTCAGTATGGGGGTTGAGGGGTCAGGTTGTTGGGTGAGGGGTCAGGTTGGCATGTGAGGGGTCAAGTTCCAGATGTTTGGCAGCACTGCTCTGAAACTGGCAGCGGGCATGCTGCTGAAATGAGTGTGTCGTATAACAGGCCTTTCCCTCTGCCCCTGTGGGTTGCTACTGGTTTGCACTCAGCTTCCCCTCACAGTTGTGTAGTTACTATTGTGAACTCACAATTGTCTGATTGTGTTTGAGAGCCCGAGTCCTCTTGTGATGCAAGTCATCGGAGCTCCCAGCACCCTGCAGCAGCAGCCCCACCAAAGTCAATTTTGTTTTAATATTTTCATTACTGAGGTGGCTGATGGAGAAGCATTAAGCAGCCTGGCATTGATTCCTCTGCTGATTTGTAGCCGCCTTCCTGGTTCCTTCGATGACTCATGTAAACATTGGGCTTACCGACATAAAATCTGCTGATACCAATCTATTCTGAGACCATTTGTTCTCTTTGGCTTCTTTTAACCATGTAATTATGCTCCATCAGATTGGGACTCTCGCCTCCAGTGAGTGGGGCGGCTTCTGCCGTTATATCATTACCATAAAGTGCAGGTGCAACTGTCGCATAATGTAAAATGATAGGAAAAGGCCGTGGATAATTCACCATGGGAATGAGCACTTTTTATGATTGTTTACATCTGTTACGATGATGTAGCCAAGTTCCAGTGACAAGAAAGCAGGACTGAAACATCTGCCCAAGAGACCACCAACAGATGCTAACGTTGCAGCTGGTTTGCACGCTGGGCTGTAGACAGTGATGAAGGCGGGATTCTTTGTCATTGCGGAGTTGTTAATCTCTAACAAAAAAAACGGTGACTCAAGATTGCCGGGAGGCGTTTAATCCCCGACTAATTGAGATTTTGCTAAATGTTCTGTAATAATAATCCTTGCGTTTTGATACAGCGTCTTACCACATTGTTGAGATGTATCAAAGCGCTTCAGGGATTTTTAGGGTGAAGTGCGTAGCATTTGTAGACGATTTGTAACCATTGAAATGTCCCATCCCACCCACTTTGCCTTTGGAAAGAGAATTGGACAAAAAGGAACAAAAAGGAAAAAGAGAAAGAGATGCAAGTCTGAAATGGAAAATGGCAGGTGAAGTTTAGGTGTGAATTTAACACCAGACATCAGGTCCAAGTGTCCAGTAGGGAATGTTAACTTGACACTCAGCTGCCCTTGGTGGACAGAAGGAGGAAGAAAACAAAGGCCCTGAGAGGAAACAGTAATACAATAACGATAACAATCCTTACATTTGAATAACAATCATAATTCTTGGATTTGATGTACCGCCTTTCATGTCAGGAGAATGACCCAAAGCGCTTCACAGGATTTACTGTAAAGTGGAACAACTATGTATCTTGTGGGCGAATGCAGTACCATTTGCACAAGGCAATGTCCCATGAAGTGAATTAGCAATTTTATTTGGGGGATTGTTGGCCAGGACACTGTGCTGAGCAAGTCTGTCCTTTCTCTTTTCAAATAGTGCCATGGGATATTTAAAGTCCACCTGAACAGGCAGACTTGGTTTTAACAACTCATCTGATGGATGGGACCTCTGACAAAGCAGAGCTCCCCCACCACTGCATTGGAGTTTCAACTTAAATTATATGAATTCCAAGTCCCGATGCGGGGCTTGAACCCACAACCTTCTGACTCGGAGGCGAGAGTGCTACCGACTGAGCCAACCTGACACATATAGTGCCTTTCAGGTCAAGAGAATGTCGCAAATAGCTTTACTGTAAAGTGTAGTGACTGTGTATTTTGTAAGTGAACACCGCAGCTAACTTAAATAAATCAATAATCCTTGCATTTGGCATAGCTACGTTCACATAGGGAGGACCTCTCAAAGCGCTTAACAGGATTTACAGTGAAATTGAGTGATAACTTTAGGTGAACGTGGCAACTGAAATGTGCACAGCAAAAACAGGCACAAAATTGAATGACCAATTTCTTTCAGGGAATTGTTGGCTAGGACAGAAGGGGGTTATTTAAAATGCATGCATCAATTGTCGCAGTGTGTTAGTGCAAGGATGGGTTGCAGCAGGTGCTTGGTTATAGATTGTATTGTGTGGGGTTCGAAGACCCCAAGATGGCTGGGATAGGAAAGAAGAGAAAGCGAAGCCAATTGTTCCCCTTCACTTCCATAGAGTTCAGCCTTGAGGAGAGGTTCACACAGAAGGAAATCGGTGTAAAAAAATATGTTACTGTGTCTGCCAGGGAAATAACTAAATGCTTAATACACCTGACTGCCCTCATATTCCCAGAGGATGCAGCCTGGAGTCTCACATCTGCCTGTCATGATCCATCCTCACAACATTGCTATCAATTAGGTATCAGCCTGGCTCAGGTGGTACCATTCTCAACTTAGGCGTCAGGTTTGATCCCCAGCTTTCCTTTCTACCCCACATCCGTTCCCTGACCCGGAACACTTTTTTCCATCTCAGTCACATTGACCGCCTCGGTCCGTACCTCGCAACAAAAGCAGCCGAAAACCCTCGTCCACACTTTCGTCACTTTCCGGCTGGACTATTCCAATGCCCTCCTCGCTGGTCTCCCCAGCTCCACAATACACAAAATACAACTAATTTAGAACTCCACTGCTCAGATTCTCACCCGTGCAAAACGCTGTACCCCCATGACACCAGTCCTTGCCAGGCTGCACTGGCTCCCAATTACTGAACGGAGTGATTTCAAGATCCTCTCACTTGCTTTCAAATCCCTTTATGCCCTCACACCTCCCTACTGATCCTATTTGCTTACCCCACCCCCACTCCACCACCCGCTGCCTCTGCTCGGCTGGCTCTGGCCTCCTGTTCGACTCTCTTCCCCTCCGCTCCACAATCAGCCACTATGCCCCAAAGCTCTGGAACTCTCTCCCTCAATCCCTTCGCCTTGCTCCCTCCCCACTTTCAAATCCCGCCTAAAGACCTTCATTTTTGATGATGCTTACGGTCACCTCCCCCCTCCATCTCCCCCTGACTAGGGATCAGAGTCCACCCACTGTCAAGCGCTCTGAGACTCTACCCTGCGTGAAGGGCACTATATAAATGCAAGTTGTTGTTGAGTGAAAAGGTTGTATGTTTGAGCCCCACATCGGGACTTTGAACTCACGTAACCTGAGGGAGCGCTGCTCTGTTGGAGGTGTTGTCTTTTGGATGAGATGTTGAACCAAGGTCCCGTCTGCATGTGCTGATGGATGCTGAAGGTCCTGTGGAATGATTTCAAAAGAGAACAGCAACAACAACAAAATTACATTTATAGAGCGCCTTTCATGTCGGGGGGACATCCCAAGGCGCTGGACAGTCAGGGGTCAGGACCCGAGCATGGGAGAGGGGTGGGGTAGGGGTGAAAGAAGGCAGGGAGGTGGGAGGGCGACTGAAGGCACGATTGAAGAGGAGGGTCTTGAGACCGGCCTTGAAGGAGGCAAGGGAGGAACAACAACAATAACAACAACAACTTGGATTTATATAGCGCCCTCCGCACCAGACGGCGTCTCAGAGCTCTTCACAGTAACGGATCCTGGGGCCGAGTCAGAGGGAGGAAGGTGACCAAAGGCACGGTCGAAAAGAAAGGTCTTCAGCTGAGACCTGAAAATAGGAAGAGAGGGAGCGAGGCGAAAGGAGTGAGGAAGGGAGTTCCAGAGCCTCGGACGGAGAGTGAAGAGAAGAGTTGGCCGATGAGGAGAGAAGGGAATTTCTCGCAGTGTCTTGACCAACAAATTAAAAGAATTGGCAGTTCACTTCATGTGTGGGACAAATGGTTATTGCGCCCACAGTCATTACAATACAAAAATACAATACAAATTCATATTTATATAGTGCCTTTCATGTGAGGCGGAAATCCCAAAGGCATTGATAATAATAATAATAATAATCCTTGCATTTGATATAGCGCTTTTCACATCGGGAGGACGTCCCAAAGCGCTTCACAGAACACACTGGAAAGTGAATTGACTGTATATTTGTGGGCGAACGCGGCAGCCAATTGCGCACAGCAGTGTCCCACAAACAGTCGTAATAATAATAATAATAATAATCCTTGCATTTGATATAGCGCTTTTCACGTCGGGAGGACGTCCCAAAGCGCTTCACAGAAGACACTGTAAAGTGAATTGACTGTATATTTGTGGGCGAACGCGGCAGCCAATTGCGCACAGCAATGTCCCACAAACAGTCATAGATTGAATATGACCAATTTTTATTGTTGTTTTTGGTTTTTGGAGGGATTATTATTAGGCTCTGTGTGGAGTAAGGAAACTTGCCCAAGGTTTCGCCCTGCCTGGAATTGAACTCAGGTCTCTCAATTGCAAAGCGAGTGCTCTTACCACTGAGCTACAGGAGTAGCGCCGTGTGGAGATGTGGAAACTAAGGGCGAGGGCAAAGGTGACCGAAGGTGTGATTAAAGAAGTACTCAATATTCTGTTGTGGTCAACAGAACCATCTGAGAGACCAAGAAGGACGAGGAGACAGAATGTCATTTGTCACTTTGGCCAGGGCTGTCTCTGTGCTGTGGGCAGCATGAAACCCAGATTGGAGGGGATCATGGAGGGAGTGCTGGGAGAGGAAAGAGTGAAGCTGGGAAGCGACTACTCGCTCCATCACCTTTGATGGAAAAGAAAGGTTTGAAATGGGGCGGTAGTTGGAGAGCAGAGATGGGTCAAGCGAAGGGTCTTTTGAGAGTAGGGGTGATGACTCTATAACTCATGCTTATAGAGCACCCTCCACCCAGGGTAGCGTCTTAGAGCACTTAACAGTGGCGGAGCCTGACTCCGAGCTGGGCGGGGGAGGTGGTCGTAAGCATGGTCAAAGAGGAAGGTTTTCAGGTGGGACTTGTAAAAGGGAAGAGAGGGGGCAAGGCGGAGGAATTTGAGAGAGAGTGTTCTAGAGTTTCGGGGCTGTCTTTAGGGAGATGCGTACGGTGCCAATGGATAAGGAGAGGTTAACAAGGTCTGTTAGTAGGGGGACAAGGAGGTGGAGCTGGGAGGTGAGGAGAGGGGTGGGGATGGGGTCAAGGGAGTAGGTGGGTTTCATACGGGAAATGATGCAGCTGAGCAAAGAGGGAGAGACAGGATAATAATAATAATAATAATAATAATAATAATAATAATAATCCTTGCATTTGATATAGCGCTTTTCACGTCGGGAGGACGTCCCAAAGCGCTTCACAGAACATACTGCAAAGTGAATTGACTGTATATTTGTGGGCGAACGCGGCAGCCAATTGCGCACAGCAATGTCCCACAAACAGTCGTAGATTGAAAATGACCAATTAATTATTGTTTTTTTGGTTTTTGAAGGGATTATTATTAGGCGTGTGGAGTAAGGAAACTTGCCCAAGGTTTCGCCCTGCCTGGAATTGAACTCAGGTCTCTCACTTGCAAAGCGAGTGCTCTAACCACTGAGCTACAGGACTCCACTCCACATAGCTGTATTCCACAAACAGTCATGAATTTAGTGACCAATTTATTACTATTTTTTGGAAGGAATTATTACCCCCAGAAAAGCGATCCGCCAATCGAGAAACAACCTGGTTCCTACTTACTGCAAGGTAAACAGAGGCGTCTGGAGTAAGGAAACTTGCTTAAGGTTTCGCCCTGCCCGGGAATCGAACCCAGGTCTTTTGCTTGCGAGGCAAGTGCTCTAACCACTGAGCTACAGGACTGTGGGTTAACTGTCCTCTAGGAAAAAAAATACTTCCTGATGTTGCTCCTGAAAATGTCTTGGTGCATCGAGAAATATCCTATTTAAGATTTAGGATCAAAAGTGTAGAGGGAGAGATGGTGGGTGGGGCTGGAAGGAGAACGGGTGGGTGAGTACGAGGTACCAGTAGAGGAGCTAGAGTGGCAGAGTGGATCCCCTCGACTTTGGACTTGAGAAAATCCATCATCTCCTCATATTAGGTGTTGGAGGAGAGGATGGCAGAGGCATGGGAAGGTGGACGGAGGAGTTGGTTTATGGTCGAAAAGAGGAGTTTGGGGTTGTCCTTAGCTTCCAAGATGATTTTGGAATAAAATGGGCCCATCACACCCTTTAACCTAGTTAATGTTCTCCCTGCAGGATGTCTTTTTTAATTTGTTAAATAGCAGTCTGAATGTTATCAATTAATTTGTTCCACGCCAGTACATGTGATGAAGTGTATTGGCAACGGTGGTATATTTTAGTTCAACAATGTGTCTGCCTTTGGAGAATGGTTTGTGACTGATTGTTCACTATTACAGAGTTGCAGTTATTTCATTACAAACAGGACGACAAACAGCAGGCGTTGCAAATTGTATTTTGTCATCTTGCTCAAGAAAAGCTTGCTGGTATGGCAGATGTGCCTAACAGTATCCTAAAGGAGAAAGGTAAGCAATTGCAGCACATGAGCAACAACTGATACTGATTCATGGGTTGGACATGCCAAGACTGCTAACGATATGCTGGATTGTCGGAGGTGCAGGTATTAAATCAAGATCCTGTCTGCTTGTTTAGGTGGACTTTAAAGATCCCATGACATTATTGAAAAAAAGAGGGAATTTCTCCCGGAGTCCTGATAAAATTGGTCACTCACTCCATGGCTGTTTGTGAGACATTGCTGCGTGCAAATTGGCTGTCGCGTTTGCTTACAAATACAATCACTACACTTAACGGTAAAATCCTGTGAAGCGCTTTGAGATGTCTCGATAATGTCATAAGGGGCTATATCAAATGCGAGAATTATTATATTAAGAAGCCCCATTAGAAATTTCTGCATATTGGACCGACTATTAGGTATGGGATCGCATTGCATGAATATGGATTCAACTGATCGAGAGGACAGTAGAAGGACAATCGATGATACAACAGCATTTTAAAAATACTCCTTTATCTAACTTATAATAATAATCCTTGCATTTGTTATAGCGCTTTTCACATCTTCTAGACGTCTCATGATATATGATATAACTCACATTACTTATGGCTCTTTCAGCAACGTACAGATCACATGAAACCTTCAGTCGGGTTTCCGTGCTGCCCATAGCACAGAAACTGCCCTGGTCAAGGTCACCAATGACATCCTGACCATCTGTGACCAGGGCTCCCTCTGCCTCCTCGTCCTATCGGCAGCATTCGATACGGTCAACCACCCTATCCTCCTCCACCGCTTGTCCTCCCACCTCAACCTTCAAGGCCCTGTCCTTGAGTGGCTTAGGTCGTACCTCTCCCACCGTCTTCACTTTGTTTCCACGAATGGTTTTTCCTCCGGCCCCCGCACTGTCTCATGCGGTGTCCTCAGGGCTCTGTCCTCGGTCCCCTCCTCTTCACCCTCTATATGCTCCCCCTTGGTGACATCATCCGCAGACATGGGGTTAACTTCCACATGTATGCGGATGACACCCAACTCTATCTTTCCTCCTCTACCCTCAACTCCAGGACCACTGATGTCCTGACAGCTGCCTGTCTGACATCGAGTCCTGGATGAGAGACAACTTTCTTCAGCTCAACGTTCATAAAACTGAGGCCCTCCTGATTGGCTCACGTCAGCGTCTCCGCACCGCAGGCGCTGACAGCATCAGCATCCAAGGCTGCACTCTCCACCTCTCAAAGTCAGTCAGGAACCTCGGGGTTCTGTTCGACCCTGAGCTGTCCTTTCTCCCTCATATCCGCGCCACAACTGGCACCGCCTTCCATCACCTCCGGAATATCGCCAGACTACGGCACTACCTCACCCCTCACGCTGCTGAAACCCTGGTCCATGCCTTTATTACCTGAAGGCTGGACTATGGGAACTCTCTCCTCGCCGGCCTTCCCGGCACCTCCCTCCACAAGCTGCAGGTCATTCAGAACTCTGCAGCTCGTGTACTGTCCCGCACCAGGCTTCGCGACCACATCACTCCCACCCTCGCTCGCCTCCACTGGCTCCCCATCCCCCAGAGGATCGAATTCAAGATCCTCACCCTCACCTACAAGGCCATTCACGGCCTTGCTCCCTCCTACCTCTCCGACCTACTATCCCCCTACCTACCTGCGCGTACCCTCTGTTCCTCTGGCTCCGGTCTGCTCCACATCCCCCGTCCCAACCGCCCTACCATCGGTGGCCGGGCCTTCAGCCTCTCAGCCCCTAGGCTCTGGAACTCTATCCCCCAGTGCCTTCGCCGCCTCCTCCCTTTCCTCCTTCAAGGCCGGTCTCAAGACCTTTCTCTTTGACCGTGCCTTCAGCTCCCCTCTCGACTCTCTACCCCCTCCTCGCTCCCTCCCTTCCTACCCTCACCCTGACCATTTCCCCCCTGCTCGGGTCCTGACCCAACTGTACAGCGCCTTGGGACGTCCTCCTGACGTGAAAGGCGCTCTATAAATGGAATCTTGTTGTTGTTGTTGTTGTATTTGCAGCATGACTTTCCTACAAGAAATTACCAGTATACTCTTAAACCATCTTCAATATATATTTTCATTACAGAAAATGGATTAAAAGGGTATCCCTAGGAGAAAGGTAAAAACTAGAAAGACAAATCCACAGAAGCTGAACAGGAAGCTAAAAACAACGAAAGTCTACGTGGCAGTCGGGATTTGAATTCATTTAATCTAAGCTGACACTCAGTGCAGTGTTGGGGTGGGTGTTACATCGTTGGCAGTTAGTCGGATGGGATTTTAAACCGACTTTAACCCTTTGGATGGGACTTTAAACTGCCTGTTCAGGTGGACATTAAAGATCCCATGACATTACTCGAAAAGAGAAGGGAGTTTCTCCCGGTGTCCTGGTCAACAATCCCCAAAATAAAATTGGCCGTTCATTTCATGGCTGTTTGTGGGATATTGCTGTGTGCAATTGGGCTGCTGCGTTTGCCAACAAATATAGTCAGTCCACTTTACAGTAAAGCCTTTGAAGCTCTTTGAGACATCCTCCTGATGTGAAAGGCACTGTGCCAAACGCAAGGATTATTATTATTATTTTAACAGAAAAAAGAGTTTTGCTCGATATCCTGGCCAGCGATCCTTCAGATACATTGCTGATTCACTTTGTGGCTGTTCCTGGGATTTCTTGAATGCAGATTGGCAGCTGCATTAGCCTACAATACAGTCCTACACTTGTCAGCACTTACCTGTGAAGTTCTGAAGCGGGCAGTAAAGAAGGACCAAGAAGATTTTGGAATGATGAGCGGGAGTCAGATATCGTTATGGAGAGAGCTCATACATAATATTTCACTCCAGGCTCATAGGCCTGTAATTGCCAAGTTTGAGTCAGTCAGCTATCTTGAAGATGGAAACCACATTCACTTTTTTCCAAGAATGGTAGAACCTTGGCAGTATTGATTGATTCCCTTGGTGCTAGTCTGCACAGATCCTGTCTGGTCTCTCTCTCTGTCTGGCAAGTAGTTCTTGGGGTATCCACTCACAGTAAGTGTCACAGGAAGTGATACTGAACCTGGGAACAGCACTGGTCTATGGTGTATAGCCTGGACTATGGGGTATATTTCTGGTCTCCTTATTACATTTTGACATTGGAGAGAATGCAGTTAAGGTTAAACTAGATTGAGAGCTGGAAGTAAGACACCAGAGCTAATGAGAAGAAGCAGCAGAATGGAGCAAAAAGCCTTGGAGAGATCTTATTGAAGGTTAAAAGGTTTCAAAGAGTATAGATCAATTCAATCTTAATCATGTTACCATAGTCACAAACGTTACAACAAGGGGGCGTAGACTCAAACTCAGAAAAGGGAACATAAACAGCTAGTTTGGGCTGGAGTATTTTCAACAGGATGGTGAACAGGTAGAATGTGTAACCTAGGAAGTGGTGGAGGCAGATTATAACAGCAAACTCAAGAGGGAATTAGATAGCTATTTGAAATTATTTAAGGAGTTTGGGCACGAGAGAGAGAGAAAGAGAGTGTGAATGCTTTTGTTTGTATTGGGACCAGACAGATTGACAGCAATAGCCTTCACAAGCTGCAGATGATCCAAAACTCTGCAGCTCTGCAACTCTGGAACTCCATCCTACGGTCCCTTTGCCTCGCTTCCTCCCTTGCCTCTTTCAAGGCCGGTCTCAAGACCCTTCTCTTCGACCGTGCCTTTGGTCTCCCTCCCACCTCTCTGCCTTCCCTCACCCCTACACCACCCCTCCTTCATGCTTGGGCACCGACACCTGACTGTTCAGCACTTTGGGACGTCCTCCCGATGTGAAAGGTGCTCTATAAATGTAATTTTATTGTTATTGTTGTTGTACGCCACCCTTCCCCCATGCTCGGGTCCTGACCCCTGACTGTCCAGCGCCTTGGGGCGTCCTCCTGACGTGAAAGGTGCTCTATAAATATAATTTTATTGTTGTTGTTCCCCTAAAAAAAAAGTGATTTTAGAAAGTAACCACAAAACTTCCAGATACACCAGAACACGACCAGGTCCAAGGTGGCAAAGGGTAATTTCCTGACAGACACCAGGAAGTATTTCTTTACCCAGAGAATATTTAACGACTGGAACAAATGATTGAGACCAGTATACAAATTTTATTTAAGAAGCAGCTTAATGCTCTAATGGGTTGATGGTTGGGTGGGTTATTCTGGAATAATGGTCTCAAATGGGCCAAAGAGCCTTCTTCATCCAAACTGATCTTGTGAATTGAAACCCACAATATAAAATATTGATCATATAAAAAAATGAACAGTTGAAATTGTGGTTAAACTGTACGCAGCTATAAATGAATAAATAAATAACCCCCAAGCACAAACATTAACAACTAAAGGAATTAAAACAAATCCTTGAAAAGATCTTGAAAAACTATGTTAGTCTTTCAAGAAACAGCTTGATGCTGTCAGGGCAGGACAGTGGGGTGGATATTCTTGAAGGATGAGATTAAGAGGACCAAAGTTCCTCCTTCATCTGAACCTTCTCTTGTGAGCAGTTTTTGGAGAGTGCACAGTTAATTTAGATGACTTCTGTTTTTTAAAAAAAATAGAATCTCCTTGGCAGGCAGCAAGTAACATGTAAGCTACTTCTCCAGTTCTGCCCATGGGAGAGGGTGTGGGATGGGGCCTCTCTCCTATGGAGATGATTACTTGAATCGGGTCCATTTTTACTGAGAGCTAGTTTCAAAATGAGAAAAGTTGTGAAGAGAATGCTCCTTGGGATTTTTTTTAAAGGTTGGACGTGACAAGATTTTTAACAGCAGAATTGAAGGTGTGGCAATTTCTAATGGGATTCATGAATAAAGAAAACTGAGAAAACCCTACCCCACCCCCATCCCCAGCTAACCAGAAATAAGTTATTACAAAGTCATCCCAAAGGATCACATCAAAATGGACTTCCTATCACCAACTTGCCGGTGTGACTTATTTGCCTTTTCCTGATTAAGGAATCTGTTAAGATGTTGTGTACATTAGGTGTCAAGATGAACATATAGATGTAAATATAAACCTCCCTCACCTCGTTCAAGGTGGGTCGTAAGACCTACTTCTTTGACCACGCTTTTGGGCATCAATCCCCTCCCACCTCCAGCGCAGGTGCCAAGCCAATATTGTTAGGCAAATTGGGATGTCCTTCCGACGTGAAAGGCGCTACATAAATATACGATTGTATCATGTTAAAAAAATTAAAAATGTTCCCTTGACCTCTGAAAGAGCACTGACTGACAGAATCAGAGCCCTTCGGGTTTTCTTTTCTCTGCCCTCTTGACGTGATGCCAGTGATGCTTAAATCTGGTGAAGCATTAAATCGTGTCTAGATTTGCTGCTGCTGAAGTATGAAGGAAATGCTGAACCTTTGATCGTTGCCTCTTACAGTCTCACGATCTCTCTCACACAGCAAAAGGCAATGTTACTAAAAGGAAAGTTCCAATGCTTCACAAGGCAATGACAAGAGCACCGTTTCTTCAGTTTACTTAACTTTGTTGAACGGCAAGGACAGGAAATTGCAGTGCCTGAACCACAGAACTGCGGAGGCATTGAGAAGCCCCACAAGGCAGGCAGGCTGTGAAAGTGCTATTTTCCTTCACCTCGCACTCAGAATTTCATAAGTAATTGTGAGGGCTACCGTTGTGAAAATTTGTTCAAAACAAAATCTGAAATGTGTGTTGTACCGTGTTTCATTTCGTCATCCATCAAACAGAAACTGAGATAGAAATAGGAACAGGTTGGTCATCTTTTCATAGATCCTATAAGTCTGCACTATTTATTGGGATTTCAATGAATATCAGATTCCAAATGGCTCCCTACATCCTGTCGGTGATTGCCGTCACTACTGTGAACGTCAAAGTGAGAATAGCATACAAAAAGTTGAATGTGTAATATAATATTGCATCTCATCTGTATTATCTTCAGTACTGAGAAACAATTTAACATCTATAATTTGTGTATCCCCCTTATTTTAAATGTCGCACATCTGATTTGGAGAAATCTCAAAATACTTCATTTGTGGGAGTTTAATGCTCACAAACCACAAGCATAGCCAATGCAACTAAATTGTGACACACTCAATCCCTCTTTCAAGTGAAGCAATTACCTGGGTTCACAGAAGACCAGAGTTGAAAGACTTTGTTCATTTAAAGAATTGCAAGAATTGCTACATTTGAATTGCTTACCTTTGAAAGAGGTTTCAATGGTTAAAACAGTTTGACATTTTTTTTTCTCTGTGGTGTACGATCAATGCCCATGGGTTCCCATGAGCTCTCAGTCTGCTCCACTCACTTTTGCACGTAGCAACATTTAAAAAAAATGTCTTCAGTGTGAATTAGGAAACGGGGTGGGTCATTCAGAACACAATCCTGGAGGTCTATTGAATAAAGGAGTCCTGTAGCTCAGTGGTTAGTGCGCTTGCCTTGCAAGCGAGACACCTGGGTTCAATTCCAGGCAGGGCGAAACTTTGGGCAAGTTTCCTTACTCCACACGCCTAATAATAATAAACCCTCCAAAACAAAACAATAATAAATTGGTCATTTTCAATCCACGACTGTTTGTGGGGCACTGCTGTGCACAATTGGCTGATGCGTTTCGCCTACAAATATACAGTCAATCACTTTACAGTCTACTCTGTGAAGCGCTTTGAGACGTCTAGAAGACATGAAAAGCGCTATATCAAATGCAAGGATTATTATTATTATTATTTATTATAAATAGCTCTTTATTTAATCTGCAAAGATTGATCATTGAATTGGAACTGTTTCTTCCATCCCCCACTCTATTCCCCCCCTCTATTCCCCCACTTCCCGTCTGGCACTTATACTGAATCACTTTGAAATGTTGCTCGATACGAAAGACATTGGATAATTGCAAGTTGTTCAGTTATAATGACTCTTTTGGTATCCATGTTTTCACAGATGTGCAAGGGTCTTCATCCAATACAAGTGGTCAGAAGAGAAGTCTACAAACCAAGGCTCATTTCAGGACCATTGCACCAAAAGTTACCACATCAGTGATAACTAATTCCGCTTCTTCTCTGGTACCTCATTCTCCTGTGAGTGGCGTTTCTACAAGACCTGCCAGCTCACCAGATAGCCAGAGCAGTAAACTTACAACAACTAGCACAAAACCCATTATAATGCCATCTCAGAGCTATGCCTTGATGCCGATTGCTGGTAAAGAGGGAACGTACTCTCTTGTGGCTTTGCCGCAGGTGTCTCCAACTCCTGCCCGAGCGTCACCACAAGTTTGTAAACCAATTGTTGGACCTTGTACCAGTCAACCACAGGCTTCTCAAGCGGGTCTTCAACCACGTCCAAGACCCCCGATAGGGTTATTCAGAAAGGCACCTTCTAATGTTGCTCCCGCGGAAGTATTGAAACTTCCAATTCCCCGTTACCAATCCATAAGGGCAAAGCCAGCTCCGGAGAAGGGACTTGCGTCAACAATGACGATTGTGAAGCCCAGTAACGAACAAAATCAAACGTGTCAACAACCAGTGACTCCAATACAAGTTCAGTCAGCTTCTGTCTCCAGTCACTCTCCAGCGTATCCTAACCTGCTAACATCTAAACAAGGATTACTGGCTGAGGGGGAGAAAGCACCTGCTGACCTGATGATCTCTGTCACAGTTGCCCAGGGTAGTGGGGTCATGCCAAGACATTCTTCCAGCTCCAAGACTGATGTATTGAAACCCAGTGAAGTGAATCGACCTGTATGCTTGTCTGCCTCGCCCAGCATGGATGGATCGTTACCGCAGGCTGTGCCGATGAAGGTTTTTCCGAAACCCAACCCGGATTCCCTGTCTGCCACCAGTACCTGCACTCTCTCAACTTGGTCTGTTGTCCAAAATGATAAGCAGTCGCCGCTGATAACGCAGGCCATCAGACCTCCCAGCTCAATGCCTGTGATGCAGTTTGGAAACTCTGTGCAGTTTATTGCACCCGCACCAAAAGGCAAAGTTCCCATTTTGCCATATTCTCGAGTTAAAGGAGCGATCTTCCTCAACTCAAAACCCAATCAGACTCCTGTTGCAGCTGCACCTGCTCATTTAATGCCTGCACCCTCCAGTTTACCCTCAGTCAGTGAACAGACCAGACTTGCTCCAACTTCTAGACTTGTTCCTTGTGCTTCTGGTTTCTCTGTACGGGGTGAATCTAAGCCAGGCAGCCAGAAATCTTCCGAGCTCCTGCACAGTGACTACCTCCGCATGTCGCCCAAGGTAGTCATAATTCGATTGAAGAAACCAATCAGTAATCTGCCCAAGCACAGATTAGTAAGGAAACGAAAGGTCACAGATAATGTAGCCATTTCTAGAACAAAAAGGTTTAAGGCCTCTAATCTCTTTAGCAGAATGCAGGAAGATAAAGACAAGGTGAAACGTGATTCTTGTCCTCAGGAGACTGGCACTTTCAAAACGGATGAAGACGGCAACAAAGCGGTAACAACTGAAAACTCAGACAAAACGGCCGCGGTGTTGAAGAAGTTCTGCAACATCATGCCCAAACCTGTGATGACCGTGCAGGCTGTGGCTCCACTCCCATCACCCGCAGGAATGGTTACTTTACAGAACTTCGACAGCATAAAGTCAGGGATGGCACCAAGCAGCACGGCAGCGAGCAGACCAGGGCACATAATGCCAAGCGAACATAGTGTATCGGCCAAGCTCCCTGCTTACTGCAGGAACTTGCCCGCGCACTTGGTGCTATGCAAACAGGTCTACAAATGCAACGTTTGCAGCCGAGGGTTTCAGTTCAAGCATCACCTCCAAGACCATCTGAACATTCACTCCAACAGCAGGCCTTACTGCTGCCGCATCTGCCACAAGGCTTACAGTCACTCGGGCAGCCTGAGCACGCACATGAAAAGGCGTCACAGCGACATCCGTCGCAAGAAGCTCATGTGCTGCGAGTTCTGTGCTAAGCTTTTTGGGCATATTGGAGTCTACTTTAGTCACCTGAAAGAAATCCACAAGATCTTGATCAGCGGTGACTTTTCCAGCCAACACCTGGCACCCGATAATCCCGTTAGCGTAAAGAGTGAATCGATGGGAGCTGCACTGAACCAGCTTTCATCAGAGAGGTAAATTGGGCACCAACTGTGCAAGAAACATCCTTTTGTTTGTCAGGGAGGTGGGGGGAATTCACTGCTTATTGAAGTGGAAGATGTCAGTGCTGGGGAGTGGAACAGAATTTTGTGTCATTTTTGTTGTGCATTGTTGGCTTGAAGCTTTCAAAATACCAACAAATTACATTTGTATAGCGCTTTTCATGTCAGGAGGACGTCCCAAGGTGCTAGGCTAGTTGGTGCGTGCTAATGCTCCCTGCTTTGTGCCTCTGCAACTCCATTCACCCCAACCTCAGTAGTTAGCCCCGCACTTGCAAATGTGTGTTTATCTCTACTTTCCCCACCAACCATCCTTATGGCCTCACTGAAGTAAAATTGCTGACAAGAACACAGTTATCAGTAGTTTTCTGTGCTGGGCTCTTGTCTTTTTAGGAAATGTGTTGCCTAAAATCATTCGCACAGCAGTGAGGAGAAGTATTTTTTTTGTGTGGTTATATGATTGTTGATCTGTCTTTCCTGGTTTCTGAATATATTTTACTTTTCTAAACAGTAGTTTATTTTTAAAAATTTCATTCTCTGTCAGAATATTAGCTCCACATCAGACTAAGTGTTCACATGAGATGACAATTGAGGGGAGGCTTTTGTTAAGGAATAGAATGGTGGTTTGAAGATAAAACCGTGAGTTATTGACGATGAGGCTAGGTTAGTGTGGTTGGAAACATTCCTCCCATTGTGTGAAACTTATTATAAGCTTGCCGGCCTTCCCTGATTTCGCTCTCAAAATATACAGTCAGTTCACCTGACAGGATATTAGGTAAAGCGCTTTGAGATATTGCAACAACCTGATAAGGCGCTATAACAAATGCAAGGATTATTATTATATTAGAATCGTGTGAAAGTCAAGTGCTAGACTTTTGGAAGTCAACTGAAAGCCAAGTGCTCTGGGACGCTACCCTGCGTGAGGGGCACTATAGAAAATGCAAGTTGTTGTTGTAGAATTGGGCAATGTGAACAATCGTTCGTATGAATCTAAAGCAACAACAACAAAATTACATTTGTGTAGCTAGTGTTTAATTCGGACACCAGCATTTAACAAAACCTCGTCCTCTAAAAGAGCCCTGGGGAGTAGAAATGATGATGTGGCTTGCTTCTTTCCTGGGACATTAAGACACTGTCTCAGAAATTCTATTTACATTTGAAAATGTATTCTCAAATGTTATTTTTTCAAAAAAAAATGCTGCTCCAATCTAAATTTGGCTGTGCAGACAATGTAGATTTGTTTGCCTTGGTCTGCAAACCAAACCTCACTTGCACCATCCCAAGATGTTTTTTCACAGTTTTGTTTAGATTTGAGCAAACAGTCGGAGGTGCTAAAGCAGGAACGAGGCAACATGTGAAAGCAGTTAGTATTGCGTGGAGGCCTCATGCTAACCTAAGAGGTGGATAAATATGTAAGGTTTTCTTTGCAGCATATTTTAGTGATGACTGGATTTTTTTCTCTCTCTCCCAAGAGTTGCTTTTCAATGCTAACCTTGGGCAGGAGTGGAGAACACTCCCTGGCCCAAAAACTGTTAAAACATCAATCCCTCCTGGGCAGTCTGTGGGTTGGACACATTTTGTCCTCTGCTGAGAACCTTTTGCCCAGCTATGTGAATGTTGTGTTTTTGTACACCTTCCTTCTCAAAGGTGAGTATTGTGGTCAGTGTTTCATTCCAATCTCCTGTTTCTGTTTCAAGAGCTTGACTTTTATTGGTGATATAAATCGTTTCACTCCCTGGAACCTCCCTAACTGTTTTCTTCTGACTCCGCTACCCGCTGCCTCCGCTCGGCGGGCTCTGGCCTCCTGCTCGTCCCTGGTTCTCTCCGCTCCACCATCGGCGGCCACGCTTTCAACCACTACATCCCAAAGCTTTGGAACTCTCTCTCCCTCAATCCCTCCAACCTGCCCCCTCCTTCCCCTTTTTTAGATCACCACTGAAAACCTTCCTCGTCGACTGTGCTTACGGTCACCTCCTCCCTCTGCCCGGCTCGGCCTCAGGCTCTGGCACTGTTAAGTGCTCTGAGACACTACCCCGAGTGAAGGGTGCCACATAAATGCAAGGTGTGGTTCATATTTATGCTGTTTAATATGGAATCGAAGGAACCAGAACCTTTTCTGTGAACAAAGAGAGGTGACCTGATAGAGATCTCTAAAGTGTTGAGGGTTTTTGATAGAGTTAGAAGGGAGAAATTACTCTATTTCCTCTGGTCAGTGAGCCAGTGATTAGAGAGCATCAATTTAAGATGGTTAGTAAACAAATACACAGTGCAGTTAGGATATGCAATGCCCTGCCAGGAATGCTGTTTGAGGAGAATTCAACTTAGTTTTCAAATACCTAAAAAGGAATAAACTGCTAGATAAATACCTAAAAAGGAGTAAACTGCAGAGGTATGGAGAAAGGCAGGTAAATGGGCTGAAAGATTGTTCATTAAAGAGCCAGCACAGACACAATGGGCCAAATAACCTTCTTCCGTGCTGTACATTTCTATGAGTCTATACTTCTATTACTGTTACAGCTGTACCAGAGGAGGTCTCAGGCTGCGCTTTTTTAAAAAATTCTGTGATTCTAATGCATCCTGGCGATTCAGAGAAAGTTCACAGGATATTCAACCCATTGTTTCTGTGCAATGCTCACTCCTCCACTGGTTTCTATCTGGGGCGTGGAGCGGTATTCCATTAAGGAACACCTACTGCAAGTGTTAATCAGTCCCTGGTCCGGAACAACATAGTTTGAGGAAAAAAACACCCCCAATTCTAGCTCAATCTACAAAGAATATCTACTATGGAAACACTTTCTGCATTCCAGCTCTGTTCTTTTCTCTTCAAGGAAGTATATCCAGTGTATCCTGTGAAGAGCTTTAGATGTCACGACTACTTTATAAGGAGCTATATCAAATGCAAGTATTTTTATTATTAATATCTGAGCCAGGCTGACACATATCTGCCAAAAACTGGATTGGAATTATCCAATGCGACATTGCCTCAGACTCTTAAAGAACTGTGAAGTATTTTGAGATATTTCGATATTGGTAGAAGCTTTTGGGATTGGGCCCTTACCTGAAAACAAAGGTCTCGAAGATTCAGCCTTTATTCAGCTTGTCAGTTCCTCTTATTATCTCACTTTCCTCTTTAACCTCTGACCTGTATGGTTTACTGTTACATCTACTTGTATGTAATCACAGCCCTATACTGTTGCTGGTATCTTTTCCCTCCAGGCTATGAGGTACCAGCGCCATTTCCCATTACGCACTGAGGGTAATATCCACTCCTCACCCTCACTACTAAACGTCAACACCCGGTATCTGAACATAGAGCAACAGCTCGCGTTTATTTATATATATATATATATCTTTGCGAGTTGTTTATATATTATAACTTTTATGGGTGACTAACAAAATATTAAATCAAGAAGAAACTAAAAACAACTATTGATCGATCACAGATTTGCCTAGACTCAGGCGAATATGCAGTAGGGGATTGAGGGGAGTTCTTCTAGACGTTTCAAAGCATTTCACAGAATATACTGTAAAGTGAGTTGACTGTATATTTTTGTGGGCGAAACGCGGCAGCTAATTGCGCACAGCAGAGTCCCACAAACAGTCGTGGATTGAAGTGATCAATCTACTATTGTTTTTTTTTCTTGAGGGATTATTATGAAGCGTGTGGAGTAAGGAAACTTGCCCAAGGTTTTGCCCTGCTGGGAATCAAACCCAGGTCTCTCGCTTGCAAGGCGAGTGCTCTAACCACTGAGCTACAGAACTCCAATGTCTTGGAGCACTTGACATTGTTAGGGATGGACTCAAAGCAGTGGGAGGGAGAAAGGGAGAGGTGACCAGAGGCTTTTGAGCCGGGTCTTAGAAGAATGGCCAATTGGTCAAGATAACGTTCACCAACGCCCTTCAAGCTGATCGCTATCACGAGCCCCCTTCCTTCTGCATAGGCAGTGAAATGCTAAACAGGTGCAGGTTCAACCCTGTTATAACCTGGTTGGAATCTTAATAATTACAGCTTAGGAAGAGCGCATTTGGCTCAACAAGCATAAGCTCACACTTTGAATCCTCTTATTAAAAAATGATTCAGTGGTTAATTTAGTTGAATCGTTTGTTTACAGTAACCGATAAATGAGATTAGTTCCTCAAATCTGCAGTCTCATATCAACAGCTGTCTCGTACTGTTGAGAATGAGTCACACACTGAGTATACCTGGACTTTCCTGCTAGTAGACCGTCAGGAGTGGGTTTGTGCACTGCATTGCTCACACCTCCCTGTGAGTGAGTTCCTTTTCTCAAACAGGCTGCCATGTTGATCAGGGCGAGCAGAGACCAGGAATTTCCCAGGTTGACAGTCACCTTTGGTCACTCAGTCACTCCTCTTGAAGGGGACTGACTCAAGTGACCAAATGAGTGACCAACAACAGAAGAGAATATTATCATAATGATAATAATCAGCCTTGAATTTAATGATTCCAGCATATCAAATTCTAGATAATAGTCAGCCTTGATCTAGATCTTATAATAAATATTGTTATTAAATTCTAATACTTTCTGGAATTAGGTAAGCAGAATGCGTCCCTCCAGGGAGAGAGAGCGCATTCCATTCCAACAATCTTATCTCTGGAATTTCCATGTGTAGGTTGGATGCATGGAAATCTCAGTTTGGATATGGTTTGGGTACTCTTAAGCATGGTGATGGATTTCCGCACTTGTCAGACACTCGCCTGACTAAAAAAAAGATAGTGTTAAAACGTCTCAAAGTACTTTACTTAATGTATTTGGTTATCACCTTTCACGTCAAGAGGACGTCTGACTGTAAAGTGCAGTGACTACATATTTGTAGGCGAACATGACAGCTGTTATGTGGACATCAATGTCCCTCAAACAGCCAAGGTGTGAATAAATCTAGGGGAGTGTTTGCTAGGCACTGGGAGAAACTCCCTTCTCTTTTCCAGTAGTGTCCACAGGACTTTAATGTCCACT